CCTCTAGCTTGCCAGCAGCGCTCCATGCGCCGCGCGCCGCCGAAGATCTCCAGCAGGTGCAGGTTTCGTTGTCCTGGCGTGAGCTAGGACATCCAGGGTCTGATGATGAAGAGGATAGTCGTTACACTCACCCCTAAACCCTAAACCCTAACCCCTAAACCCTCAACCTCAAACCCTAAACCCTAAACCCAAACCCTGAAACCCCAAACCCTAAACCCTAACAGCGCCTGACCAGCTGTGGAGGAAGGCGCTCACGCCAACGCTGTCCTGCTCCGGGTCGTACCAGGCCTCCTCAGGCAGCGAAGTGAAGGTGTCCTCTGCGGCCCCTGCTGCGCGCAACCCGACCAAGAGGAGACAGAGCAGCAAAGTCATGGCGGCAGCTGCCCTAAGATCCCTGAAACAACGCCCGGGCCGTGCTGGATTGCTAGCGGTGGCCAGGATGATCAATGCGGTCGGTGCCAGGCAGATCACACAGAAGTCTCGGCATGTTGAGCAGACACCCGGTGCCTGTGAAGTTGCTGGGCCAGATGCGCTGGAATGGGCAGCCTGAAAGGGCGAGGCTGGCATCAAGAATGAATGGACAAAAGGCGGTCTGACTGCACAGGGGTGGACCCTGACTCCTTAACCCTGAACCATCGACATCACGGCTTTGAACATAAAAAAAACATGCAAAACCACCACCAAAAAAAACAAAATCGTAAACATCTCCCCAAATTGCCAAGGGAAGTGGAGAGGACTTGGCATGCTGCGCGTGCGAGAGCCTCTCTAAACCCTAAACTTTCGAAATCACACAGCTCAACACAAAAAAACACGAACCACCCCCCCGAAAATAGTCTACCCTGAAAAACATCCCGAGAGGACTGGAATGTCCTCCTCAGCGATGTCGGAGGTTCCTGCAGGCAGCGCCAGGGAACCCAAAAACAAACAAGCTCGAACAGCTGCACATGTGTCCTCCGGTGGTGGGAGAGGAGGCTGAAGACTGGATGGAACCGATGGCTCCTGCCAAAGATGGACCTTACTTAGATGGCTGAGGGGAGTTTAGGCATGTCACTTACAGACTTAGTCTACCCGTCCTCCGCCGAAAGCATGGGTGGAGCCGTGTTCGAGGAAGGCTGCGCCCATGGATCCTGCAAGGACATAGAAATAGGGAACGGGCATGATGGGTCGTGTCATGTAGGAAGAGCTGTCCTCAGTCGAAGATGCCGATTCTGTCTGGGCCGGATCGGAAAGTTTGACAGCGCGCTCGATCTCCTGGAGCGAGTTTCCCAAACGACCCCAACGAGAGACACCATGATATATGATACACTACGATACACCGGTTTCCGAACCGCTGTGGCTTCAAGAGGGGTCCTGGGAAAATGCATTCGAGACAGCAGCCTCGGGGGGATCTGGGCACTCCATCACCTGCAGCACGTCCACGTGGCAGAGGATGGCACAGGCAGATTCGGTCCACAGTTCACTACACAGAGGCGTCCTGCGCAGACTCCGAAGACGTTGTCTGGGAAGAATCGGGAACAGCGTGCTCGGTCTCCTGGACAAAGCTGTCTAAACTGACAATCTACGACCTCTACGTTTTGAGCAAACCCCTAAATTCTGTCCATCTCAGGTCTTTGCTGCTGGTGCAGGGTCGAGAGACGATTCCTCGCGCCGGGAAGGGCGGTAAGCAAGAGGGGAGGGACGGGGATGCGGAGGGTAAGGCACAGTCAGACTCCTGAGCCGTGCCCATGTCACCTTTCTCTCGGGCAGCCTGTCGTATTTCTTCCGGCACCTGTTGAGCTGACAGGGGCTCAGCTTTTTCAGGAGTTCCGTACCCTTGGCGGTGCAGAGGTCTCACTGTGTCTCAGCGCTACAACTCTGCTCGCAGTCTCGCGTTGTACGAGTTTGAAGCTTCGGGCCTGGTGGTGGCCCAACTCATCTGCCCACTTGTTAGCCTGGCATGGCAGGGCAGGGCTGCTGCACCGAGAGGGGCTCTGTAGCTTCAATAGTGACAGCGACTGCTGCGGTGGGCCTGTGCCAAGCTCTTGAAAGTGTGCGTCGCAACTGCGCCAGGCCCAGGATGCCAGTAGTACGTAACTCGGCTGAAGATCAGATCATGTGCGGGCAGCCTCTGGCGCACGGTACAGAAAACGAATGCATACAAGGAACACCTGCGATCGGACACGTATTCTCGGAATAGAGCGGCCCACGGCATGGTCGTATATGGTTGTGAAACAAGCAGTGTCGAAAATCTACAGATGTCTGGTGGCTGTCTGCCTAGTTATGATGGCTGTCTGCCTGGCTGCAGCTGGTTCTTAAGCCATGATCGTGTCATTCAGAGGTTTCAAAACCAATCAGAGGTTTCACAACCAAACACATGCATGTAAAATAAGCCAAAAAAACCTGTATATAGCATGCATTATGTCAGGATGACTGCTTGATGAGTTGAAAAAATGGCTGAAAAAAAGATGGTTCTAAAACATGGGCTCTCAAAAAAATGCTTTTTAAAACTTAAATAAAAAACATTGTCAAAACGGCCCCAAAAAAATTGACTCTAAGCTGCACAGCTCAATGTTCCAGCACAGTGCTTATATAGTTGTGCCTTCAAAGCCTCAGTAATCCAGCAGGGAAACCCTGAACCCTAACCCAAGGAGCAAGTCGGCACTGTGCTGAAAGGCGCTGCCTCCAAAAGGTTTGTGCCGAAAGGCGCAGCCTTGAATCCGAAACCCAAAACCCTAAACAACAAACCCTGGACCCTAACCCAAGGAGCAGGGGTGCAGCTCAAAATCGAAAGGCGCTGCCTGAGCAGAGCAAGACCCAATTTGTCATTCCAGGCTCAAGGGGGGCACAGGGGCGATCATGCTGTCAAACCAAACTGTAAACTGTCAACCCCAGCCCCCCCCCCCCCACCCCCCCTCTCCTTGCATTCTGGGCAAGTTGCGACGACCCAGATTTGTTCTTCTTCAGCAGTCCTGCCCTCGGCAAGGGTTTTCCTAGTGGTTTGCTTGAACAGGTGGATACTGGTAAGTTCTTCTGGGCATGAGCAGACACTGTTGATCCTGTGGTGAAGCCATGTGAATGTTGACTTTTTGCTTTGTCCTGTTTGTCGCTGTAAGGCATGTTGCTTCACTTCGAGAACTCCACACCAACAACACTGTGCGGCACTAAGCTGACAGTAGTGCAGAAATGCATTTCAGAGCTGTTCTTGCGGTTTGTGTGTGTGGGGGGGGGGTTTGTTGTCAGTGCACAAGTGCCACTCTGCCAGCAGTCATGAAACGAATCAGAATGTGACCCTCTGAAACCGTTGAGGCTCAAGTGCAGGGCTCATACAGTCGGTCACCGAAACACGAGCAGTATAGGTGCGATAGAGAAATCTTAAAGGACAGGAATTCCACTGAAAGGCTTCTATGCACAGGTGCGTCCAAAAAAACTGACGCACTCGGTCACCAAACATGAGCAGTACAGGCGCAATAGAGAAATCTTGAAGGACAGGAATTCCACTGGCTCAATGGGGAAAAAAGAGCAGAACCTGAGAAAGAAGAACACTCCCAGTGGCCGGGAGCGCAAAGACTTGCGATTGCAGTGCAACGACTTGAAGCAGAAGCTTAAAGACCTGCAGGCCCGGCATGTCCATTCATGGGAGTTGTTTTTTGTTGACCCTACTTGCCCGGACCCTGCTGTTGCCCAGAGGAGAAGTTTGACAAGCTGCAGCAGGAGCATAACCTCGGTCTCGAGGCCAATCTAGCTCTGGTGCAGGAGAGAGACCTTCTCTTGAAAGAGAACAAGGCCAGGTCGGGAAGCAAAAACATGCAAACACTTGCAATTTGCAATCTTGAAACATCCCTCAAGCTGTTGCCCAGAGGAGAAGGTTGACAACCTGCAGCAGCAGAAGGATGACCTCGAGCAGCAGCATGACCTTCTCTTGAAAGAGAGCAAGGCCAGGTCGGGAAGCAAAAACATGCAAACTCTTGCAATTTGCAATCTTAAAACATCCCTCAAGCTGTTGCCCAGAGGAGAAGTTTGACAACCTGCAGCAGCAGCAGCATGACCTCGAGCAGCAGCATGGCTTCGCCCTCCAGGTCAACCTAGCTTTCCTGCAGGAGAGAGACCTTCTCTTGAAAGAGAACGAGGCCAGGTCGGGAAGCAAAAACATGCAAACACTTGCAACTTGCAGTCTTAAAGCATCCCTCAAGGAGCTAAAGTCGTTCCAGCCAGCGCTGCTGAAAGCTCACAAGGAACGTATCCTTGAACTCCGGATCCAGAAGGCAGACGAAATCACAAAGGCCGACCAAACCGGGTTTGGGGTTGAGGGGTGCATGTTTGTCTTTAGGGTTTAGGGTTGGGGGTAAATGTTGAGTTGTTCCAGGCAAAAGAAGCCATCTTCGCGATGAGACTGGAAGAGTTACAAGCTGCCGCCTTGCAAGCTGCCGCCTCGTCTGCTGCAGAGTCGCAATCGCCCACCACGGTTGTAACACCCGACAAGGAGCCCGAGGATTCAGATTGAGTGGCTTGGGATGCACTCGGACTCCATACCCTTACTTTGCTAAACCTCTAAACCCACTGAAGCGCCGTTGATCTCCCAGGAACACCAGGATGATGTGGGATGATTGTGGCTACTTGTGCGGTCTTGGAATACTTACCAGTGATCTTCTTGGAGTTCTTGTGTTCCAGAGCTTTGTGAGTCGGCCCATCGTTGCGTCGATCATGTTTGGAAGGCAGTGCGACCTTCACTGTTTCACCAAATGCTCGCAAGCACAAGTGATAGCAAAGAAGCTTTGCTTTCTGACTGTGAGCTGGCTGACTCTGATCTTGATGTTTGTTGTCAGCGCACAAGTGCCACTCTGCCAGTGACCCTCTGAAACCGTTGAGGCTCGAGTGCAGGGCTCATACAGTGGGTCACCGAAACACAAGCAGTATAGGTGCAATAGAGAAATCTTAAAGGACAGGAATTCCACTGAAGGGCTTCTATGTACAGGTGCAGCCAAAAAAACCTGACACACTAGGTCACCGAAACACGAGCTGCCATGGACCCGCGGTCTGCTCTGAAGTCAAAAGCAAAGCCGACGGAGCCACCTGCACCTTGGCTGGATGCGCAGCGGACCTCAGAGCAGCAGCCGGCTCAGATGCTTCAGACTGCTCTGCAGACGAAAGCACAGCCGACGGAGCCACCTGCACGGCTGGATGCGCAGCGGACCTCAAAGCAGCCGGCTGAGCAGGAGCAGGGTGAGGTGGAGCTTCAGGGTGAGGTGGAGCTTCAGGGTGAGGTGGAGCAGGGTGAGGTCAAGCAGGGTGACGTGGAGCAGGGTGACGTGGAGCAGGGTGAGGTGGAGCAGGGTGAGGCGGAGCCCCGGACATGTTTTGGATTTTTCGTTTGATGGTTTTCATGTGTTGTGCAAGTCCAGTCAGGCACTTAATCCAAGTCTAAACTTAGGTGACTGCAGAGCACATCCGCTCCAAGTGGAACCAGTTCGTGGATGAGCTCCCCACTTGGTGGAGCCACCTGAAGGTCAAGGGCTCCGGATCCGTTTCAAGCTCCTTTGACCGACTGCACAGCTGACAATTGCAACACCCTGGCAAAAGAAGATTCGCTGTTCTAGAAGTCTGCAGAGAATCCAAAGACCGAAGCCCTGGTGTGTCACAAAAAGCTGAGGTCGGTTGCCTGGGCCGATGGTTCGCCTTCGAGGCCTGTCGCCAGGGTCACAGCTTCCACAACGAAGTCCCACAATAACAAAACCATCTGCTGAAGCCCAGCTGTCGACTGAGTTTACACTTCACAGTCACATCATCTGTGCAGCTGCCCTTGTGTGTGTGTGCTTGTGTTGCATCGAAGTGTTTTTGGGTTTTGTGCTTTGGGAGAGGTACAGGAGAGGTCAGGTACTACGGGAGAAGGTAAAGGGGGAGAGTGCTGCGGCTGTGTGCTTGCAGGAATATACATAGCGCAACCGGTTGCGCTTTGGGAGTGCTTGCAGGTTGCAAGCACCTGGAAGACACTTACGGCTGTGTGCTTGCAGGAATATACATAGCGCAACCGGTTGCGCTTTGTGAGTGCTAGCAGGTTGCAAGCACCTGGAAGACACTTACGGCTGTGTGCTCAGGAATATACATAGCGCAACCGGTTGCGCTTTGTGAGTGCTTGCAGGTTGCAGGTAAAGGGGGAGAGTGTAGCGGGGAGGGCTCCGCCAACAAGCAAACAAATAGCCTCCAAACCCTAGACCCTAAACCTCAACCACCAGTACAGTACATGTTCTGTCGAAAGAACCTTGCAAGCAAGCAGACTCTGCCCCTTTTTTTTCCCTCGCAAGCGAGTTGGACTTCTGAATCTTTGTGTGTGCATCAGTACACAAATTTCAGCCATGAAACTCATGGTATTCAAAGCAAGTCGAGGCTTGCAGTATCGATTCCGGGGTAAGAGCTTAAGGTTTGAGGAAATCTGCCACAGTGGTTTGATTCAGGAATAAACTGCAACCCTCGCACTCACACGCCCCGGGCAGCAAGCATATCATTAAAGACAGTGACATGCTCCCAAGTCCATGTCGGCTGGCAGGCGAACATGTCCTGGGCCATTGGCATAGACAGCTCAAGGAACTTCTTCAAAGCCAACACCCAGCGGCGCAAATGGTAGAAAACCTTTCGGCTGCGACGACACTCGGATCCCATCGTAGACGAACATCAGGAATCCTTCTGTAAAATCGCCCGCATTCTTGTCGTCGCTACGACCATACATCTCACGTGGAAGGAGGACCACCATGCCGAAGTACCAGAACCAGTTTCCTGGAGAGAAACGGTTTCCAGCCTCAGGGTTCTCACGGTGGAATTCCATCCACCGATGGTGCCAATGCTTGATCGGCGTTCCCAGTGTCCAGCTGGCTCGGTACCTCTCCATGAGCAACTCCAGGAAACTTTGCTCCTCAAACAGCGTTGTGTAAAGCTGAACCAGCAACTGGTGCAGCTCCTCTCTTGCTGATGGCAGCTCGTTAAGTTCCACCAGAGGCTGCTGAGCATTTCCGGCCACGGCCATTGGCAAGTTGGGACAGTCAGACAAACAAGGACTGCAGTGGGGCCAAAATTGCTGAAGAAAACACAATGTCTAATATCCAGTGTAACAAGAATGCTCTTGTAAACTGTGTGGAACTAAAAGTCCAAAGCCCTAAGACGGCCCGCCTTCATTTCTTTCCAGAAGCAGCCCCTTTAGTGCATCCATGTCGAGTAGTAGGTGCATATTTCAGCACAAAGCACTCCTTTAACTTCAGCACTAAGCCTTAGTCACTAAGCACTCCTTCAAGCCACCCTCTACCCCCTGTCTCGGACCTCCAAATGTGCCAGTGCTCCACTGTTTCCAGGCATACCAGCGCACCATCATCATGTCCAGGGCCTAGCAGGCTTTGCAAGTCCAGGGTTTAGGGTTTAGGAGTTAGGTTTAACTCTTATTCAACTCTCCTAATCAACCTTCCTAGAGCCTTAACACTTTGAACCTTCCTAAAGGTTTAGGGCTTGGGCTCGGGCATCGGTTTGGGTATCCAAGCCTGGGCATCGATTTGTTTCGGGTTTCGTGGGTATCGGGTTTTGTGGGTTTGGGGTTTGGGTATCGGTTTGGGTATCGAAGCCTGCAGTTGTTTGTTTCGAGTTTCGTGGGTATCGGGTTTTGTGGGTTTGGGGTTTGGCCTTCTCAGGCTGCGCCGCGAGGCGCAATGCCTGGTTTCCTGGGTATCGGGTTTAGTGGGTTTGGGGTTTGGGCTTCTGAGGCTGCGCCGCGAGGCGCAAAGCCTGCAGTTTGTTTGGAGGGTTGTGGGTTTGGGGTTTAGTGTTGGGGGTACCCAAACGAGTCTCAGTCCGTACCCTACACTTCTGCGAGCAGCACACTTGGCCCCAGCTTTATGTAGTCGTGCCTAGTTCATGGTTTGCGTTCACGCTCTAGAGTTTAAGTTGTACGGTTCGGTGCAGTATGTTCAGCAGCCACAAGGAGTAGGCCGCCACAGTGCCGAAAGGCGCAGGGGCGATCGTACAAGAAATTGCAAACCCAGGGTGCAGTGTAGAAACCAGTTTGTGCATTCCATAGGATTTAAGGCTTAGGTGTAGTCAGTGTAGTCTTGCAGCAAAGCCCTGTGCCACCTCACCTCAGGCAAGACTGCAACCGTGATGAGCATACTGTTGCAGGAAGCTAATAATTACATAGGCTGTTCTTAACATAGCCCCCCCCCCCAGCCAACCACTACAGCCACTAGCTCGCAATGTCGGGCCCATGGAATCCAGGTTGGAGTCAACACTGGAACCAACACTGGAATCAAGATTGCAGACAAGGTTGGAGTCAAGAGTCGACAGAGCCGGCTTCATCCCACAATGAGCCTCAGCTCACCCGCAGGCAAAGGGAGAACAAGCGAAAAAAGGAGACTCCATCCAACGAGGAAAGAAGGGACTTGCGGTGGGCCGTCAGCAAAAAGCTGACTGCCACCCAGGAGGAAACACTTTCGCTGCAAGACCAGCTGGCTGAAGTCACCCAGCAAAGGGATGCGCTGCAAACCCAGCTGGATGCAACTGCCGAGGAGAGAGACACACTGCAGAAGCAGTGCTCGGATCTGCAGGCCCAGGGGGACAAGCTGCAAACCCAGCTGGACGCAACCACCGAGCAAAGAGACACACTGCAAAAGCAGTGCTCGGATCAGCAGGCCGGGCAGGTTTAGGGTTTAGGTTTAGGGTTTAGGGTTTTGGGTTTTGGGTTCAGGGTTTGGGGTGCAACTCCTGTCCTAAACCTGAAACCGTACATGAAACCCTGTCCCTTGTTGTTGCCTCTGCTTGACCCTAACAGGTGCAACTTGAAGACCTGGAGCATCGGTGGGCGAAGTGCGTCGAAAGCAACAGGCTGGTCGAGGAGGAGCGCGACAGGCTCCTGAAGGACAACCAGGCCAGGTACGGTTCCATACTCCAAGTAACTAATCGGAAGCATAAATTGGATGCAATCTTCAGAAAACCCGAATCCAACTGATGTCAGGAGAAAGACCAGAAACTGAAGGAGGCAGAGGAGCTCATCTCTGAGCTTCAAATTTGTCAGGCCGGCAAGGCCAATTCAATGCAAAGTAAACCCTAAACCCTTGGCCCCACTCTTAAGGCCCGCAAGCCCCATGCAAAGTCTTCCATGCACAGTCTTCTCATTAGCCCTAAACCCTGAACCCTGAACCCTAAACCCTGGCCAGGAAAATGAAACGAGGCAAGCAGATCTGCTCAAGGATCAAATGGGACATTGGATCGTGGATGCGGCCAGAGCAGATGTGTACAAGGAGAGAATGGAAAAGGCTCTTTTGGAGGTGGCCAAGTACAAGGCAGGACTGTGGATGTGCACAGCCTAGGGTTCAGGGTTTAGGGTTTAGGGTCTAGAGGTGGCTTAGAGTCTGAGAGCCCTGACAGGAGAAAATCTCCGAGCTGGAGAAAGGGGCCTCGCAGAGTGAGGCGGATCTTCGAAGTGCTCAAGAGCCTGCCAGCACTGCAGAGGCGGACATGGAGTAAAGACCGGGTTTGGGGTTTAGGGTTCAGTGTTGAGGGGAGCACTCATACCAACACCAGTCATTTATTTGTTCCAGGCAGAGAAGACCGTGTCTCATGTGGCTTGGGAAGCACTTCATGTTCATTTCCCTATTATATACATCTTAAAAGTTAAAACCTGGAAGACTTGAACCCTAAACCCCAGAAACCTCTTCACATCCAAGGATGAGTCAACAGCTGGAGAGGGGCAGCCGACTACTGTACGCCCGGCTGGAACTTTGCAGCAGGAGTCCAAGGCAGTGAAGAAGGGTACTCTGTTGTAGCTGCCCCTGTGCCCTCTCCTGTAACTGTTTCTATTTTTTTGAAGGCGGTTAAAATTAAGCGAGTCAGAAGCTGTGTGCAAAGGCGGTCTCCTCACTGGCAAAAGTCAAAGAAGAGCCCTCACTGGAAAAAGTCAAAGAAGAGCCCATGTCGGACGACGACATGCCAATGTGGGTGGAACACGAGATTGCGGAGCAGATCAAAGCCGACCTGTTGGAGGTGATCGATAGTGGGTGGGCCTACGACCGGTTCCACATGCAGCTGTATCCGAGGCCGGTGCGAGCTGCAAATGGCACTCCTGAAACTTGGAATGACCACGAAGGCCGGTTTGTCAATGCCAAGCTGGCGCAGCGCTGGCAAAAGTGGTCGTACTGCCCGGAGCCGGAACGTGTTTTGGCATCCTTCTTGGCAAGCCGGCCTGGGCTCCTCAGACTGGATGAGGAGTTGATGGGCCCGTCGACCCACCTTCTAGGCTTTTTGCGGGTGACGCTTCCGCCACAAGGGCAGCCGCTGCCTGGAGCCAACACCGACGAGACCGGTGTGGCCTTCCACGGCACACACCCGTATTGCCTCCGCAGGA